CAGCTAACACTGATTATCAAGGACAGAAAGAATGTTTTTCAAAGTAAAATATTTAAATATTACAGGAGGGTTCAACTTAAGTTACACATCCCCGGAATGTGATAGTGAGCTGTCTCTGGTTATGCTCCACACTATCAAAATGTATTGTGGGCACAATGAGCAAATGAGAAAGTATATTGTCCCAAGTTTGGTTATGAGTTTTAATAATGATGATTTTTGTCTCTTTTGAATGGCTTTTCAGAGAACTGTTTTTAACTCTATCTGCCAAATATATGTGGAAAAGTCAAAGCATGCTTCTAAAGAGGGAACCTCCTACCCACTGCTTCTAAATCATGTTTTCATTTAATCAAGTGGTGTGGCACTGAAATGCAGAACTTCTCTGAGTAGTCAGGAGCTATCTTTACCTGTCCAACACCAACAAATGTTTCATTGGGGAGAAGCATTTTAGTGTTGGTGAAGAAATAAGTCCTTTCCTAAATTTGAGTCAAAAAACATTTCAAATATAAGAGCAATGAGATATGAAGACTAATGGGACAATGTTAAAAGAGAGTAAAAATGATCTCCTCAGAAAAAAGTAAGTACTTTATTTTTTGATTATTACTTGAGAGTCTACCCTTTTAGGTTAGTCAATGTAAGACCAAAGATGGCAGATGATACTCACAAGATACATTTTAGAAAACAAGAGTGTGTTTCCCTTTTAAAAATAATGAATGAAACAAGTACATAAAGATAACCATTTCCCCCCAGAGTTGCATAGGCTTAAAATGTTTACACATTACAGCATATAGGTGTAAGGCCAGCAGAAGCCAGTTTCCTCTCCAAGAATTCCCTATAGTGTGCCAAGACGGGCCCCGTCTCTCCGGCCATGGCAATGTACTGGGGCACAGCAGTGAGGTCTTATTCCTGGCCCACTGAACCTCAAACTATAAAGGGGTCATGGTTCAGAGAGAAACTTGTACCATTTACTTAGAAGTATAGATTTCTTCCAGAATGTACTTCATTACAAACTGATAACCAAAGAAAAGAATATATTAGTAAGGAGATACCATTTCCTGAATAGTAAAAAACAAGACACATATTATCCTTCAGGGCTGTTCACACAGCTTCAGTATTGAGAGAACATTATTTAGGGCAATTCAGCCCAACTTTTCAGGCTGTTAAAAATCTCTACTAATTAATATTGTTGTGTGTGGGAGGTGAGTAGGAAGGTAGAGGAAGAAAGTCTGAATTTATAGTTTTTAGAAACATGGTGGAGAGGACTTTCAAGTTCACTCAAGCTGCTTTAAAATACTTCCAAGTAGAACTGCTTGAAATCAACAGCTAATATTAACTCACAGTCAGATATGCCGATTTGTATGCCCATGTGCTGAACGTCATAAAAAATAGTTAGAAACTATTTCATTCATTAAATATATTCCTTATAATTCTTCCACCCTCGACCTGGTTAGTAAATGCTTTATTCGTGGGTAATGCGTAAGTAAAACAATAACAAGATCAAATTACTACAATTCCAAATTAATAAGGCTGTCTAACAGAGAACATGGGTGAGGAGGCTGATTTTTACTGAGCCTCTTTCACGTGCTGGATAATCTATTTACGGGTGTCTCAATTCTTAAAACACCATTCTGAGTAGGAATTAACATTCCTACTAGAAAGGTGAGGAAATTGCAGCTCTGGGAGATTAATATACCTCCCCAGGACCATTTAGGTAAGAGACAGAGCTGAAATTAAGCTCATGTCAGAATGCCCAGAGCTGATACCTCTTTCTGTGGCACGCTGCTTTCTCTTCAAACTGTGTTCATGCAGTATTTGATGTTTAGAAATCAAACCTCTTAGGGAAGTAATCTCAGAAACTGCAGAACATTTCTAATGCATTATCAGTAAATCTGCTACATTTATTATCCCACTAAAGATTAAAAATGCCTAAGATCATAACTGAACTAGTCATTTACTGTCATAACAAACAGTTGGCTAAAAGATCAACTTATGGACAACATGGAGATCTCAGCCCCCGGCAGATACCAGTGCTCCAATCACAGCACTGGTCTCTCAGCCCAAAGACCTCTCATGCAACTGAAAATGGGAGAGGTTCCTGCCTTGCTTTGAATTAGTAACTTACAATACTGTTAATTAATTACTTATTTTTTTTACTTTGCCTGCTTCTGAAAAGAACTGGAAGTGGCTTGCTGAAAATAAAGACTGTAGGAGAAAATAAATGATAGCTTTGTGGGATGTGTGTTGAGGGGAGATAAGATAATAAATCTATTCTAACACTTGAGTTAACATAGATTTTATCTAGAGGGATCTGTCAGGATCTTGCATTAATTTACTTAGTGGACATAGAAACAGTATGAAAAACTGAGAGGCTAAGAAGATTTAAAATGATAATGGGCACGGAAAACAGTTCAGCAACCCTATTTACTGAGGCACTACAAAGATAAACACTAGGGGATATGGCCCCACAGGCCACATTAGAAAGGTGGAATTAATAAGATTTAACTATAATAAACAAATTGTTTATCGAACCCATGTCTGTCTTTCTCTTGACTTTACTAAAATGTCAGGCATTGGTACAGTATATAGGAGGCAATCCAATGCACTGCTGACCCTTTAAAAAGCTGAAGTTTGGTTATCAATGCACAAGATTCGATTTATCCAGCATTGCTGAGGACTATGTAAATAAAATCTACATCATAATTGATTCACTTGACTAAGAGTACAAGTTTTAAAAATGTTTTACTGGAAATCCTTTCAAATAGATCATACTTTGTCTTACATATATATTGAACATAGTTTGATTTTTTCTTGATGAACTAGGGTCACCAAGACATCAGGCAAAGGCTATTTGGCTTATAGTGAGACAGACTTGTGTTTGAAATTTCACCTTTACTGGTGTCATAAATGAAGAACACTGTTTGGCTCACTGGGCACCATTAAATAAAGTATGAGGAAGCCCTTTGTTTTGTGAACTATAGGAGAAAAAAGAGTGTTTGTGAAGTAGTACTTTGGGTTTTTATGTGCAAAAGCGAGGTAGGTCTTGAAAGATCAGAGGTTTTTAAAAAAAGTTAAATGCCCTCAAGCTTTGAAGGTTGTTATACCTTGCTTTTTAATGATAAATATTTCATGTGTTACCATTAATATTTTATTCTATGTCTTCAATTTTGCACCTCTAAATGGGTGCTTTAAATTATTTTTTCTGAATTACTGGAAATATTTTTAGTGTATCTTGATACAAAGGTTTTGAGAATGCAAACTTACAGTGTCAGCCAACGGGAGGGGGGATATTTGAATTTACAGAAACAATCATATGCTCCCTATTAGGAATTCATTTATTGACAACAAAAAGGAAGACGAATCTGGATTTTTGAAACACTTATTATTTTATACTGAATGAAAACTGGTTGCTTATTTAAATGAAGCAAAATAAGTGTTTCTAGATAATGATTTATTTTTTTAAAGTGCATCTCTTTTAAACATTAGGGAGTAACTCAATCCCAGGACTTTCAAACATAGACTAATCAGAAGATTAGGACCACTATGTAATGAGAAATGTGTTAAAAGTACATGACTTTATTCTCCTGAGGACATAAAAAGGTATTTAGACAAGGCATTTAGGACAGGAAGAATGTTTCCAGGGAAGGGAAGCCATAATCTCTTCTTTAGCTAAGCTTTTTGTAAAATAGCACATAAAAAAGACTTGGTTTCATTTGCACAGAGATTGTAAAACAGTTCAATGTCTACATCTTGTATTTGTAGCAGTTCCATTTATACCATAAAAGACCAATTTTGCTGTTTCTAATTAGTTTTTGAATAAACTGTCAAAACTATTTAGGTTTATCAGCCTAAAGAATGTTTTGTCTCATCTCACAGAGATTAGATAATAAAATGTTTGGTGAATAGGAGTATGGAATTCATTTTCTTATCAAACATAGAAACGTTATGCCCAGAGTATATTCTGACAAGTTATATATTAGGCATTATAAGCCACAGGTTTAAGGACCTCCTGGTCATTTGGAGAAAGACAATCTTTTTATTGTGCTGGCAAAAATGCCTTTGGTTTCCTGCCATTAAACCTAAGTGCTAGTGGAGGTTTGAGCAGAGTTGAAATAACATTACACAATATACTCTTTAAGAGAATAATATATACTTGTAAGAGTAATTTTTATTTCCTAAGGAGACGAAAAATTGTGTTTTTTCATCACATGTGGAGAATGTGCGTAATTATCTCCTCCTGGTCAGAAACACATTTTTCTATCTACTTTAAGCATTCTGCATATTTCTTGCCCTAGTGAGCCAATTCTATCAATTGTGAAGGGGAAGAAAGCCCTAGAAGACCCCTATTAATTTCTCCTAAATTGAATGGTAGTTTCATGCAGAAGTTTTCATTTAATTTATATGATCAGATTGTGTTAAGTAGAACCAGACTATGGAGTTAAACATTTCCACATGTTATAAAGGCCCAGGACTTTTCCTGAAAGGAGACACTGTTCTGAGTTCAGACGTTACCTGCTGCTTCCAGGAACAGCTGCAACTCCTCCTGGATTTTACCCTCCCCAGCTCTGGGTCACATGGGAGCACATGGAGGAGATGCTGTCCCCTGGCACCTCCCTACCTCTGACACACATCTGGACTCCAAGGGCCACCAGAGTTTTTCCCAGTATTGCCACTTGCCTTCATCCTCTGAGTATGGATGAAGAATTAGGTGAGGGCAGGGAAGGAAGGCAAGTTAAAGAAATTCTGGAGATCTGGTTCCTGGGTTAGAGCCAACCTGAGCCCTAGTGGCAGCTTCTACAAATGCTTCACAAATCCCCCCTTGATGATATGATATTTTGGAGACTATGACCATCCTCCCTCTTTGTTTTATGCTCCAGAAGCCTGAGACCGCAATGAGTCATGAAGAATTCTAATTTCAGAGCCAAAGAATCCAAAGCGGTGATAACAAAAAATAACTGATATGTGAACAAAGGTTAGTATTTGACAATGGATAAAGATCGGTATACCTTCCCTTCCTCGGGGCTTTGTTGACATGAATTGTGAACGTCGTCTTCTCTTACTAATTTTCCAGGCCAGGAAGTAAGTCCTTTGATTTGGCCCCAGACCAAGTCGCCGACATTGAACGTCCTTGGCCTATAATGTATCAACTCGTTGGAAGAGGGGGAGTCTGGATTCCTTAGGTCATCTTCACTACTAATGCTTTTAGCGTCTGAAGGGCTAGGCACACACCCATTAATGCTTTTGGCATTAAAGTCTCCATTGTAATGGACATAGTCTTTGACCAGAGAACTTTCCAAACTGTGTGAGGAGCTCGGAGATTGCTCCTCTAGGACCAGGTCCCGCCTTGTGGTGCTCAGCAGCTCTCCGAAGCCCCGACTCTGTCGAGGCCTGTTCCCATTAATGTGTGCACATCTCTCCACAGTGTTCTCTAGTCTCTCCTTAAAACTCATCATAGTTCTTTTGTAGTTATTATACCTGAAATTTTCCTCCAGAATTTTATCCCCCTGACAGTTTCTTGGTGGTAACAGTATTGGGTGCTGTTCCCCGGGCAGAAATGGCAGTGTAGAGACATTGTTGGGCCTTTCGTGACAAGGACTGCTATGGATATGGCCTGAATGGTCTAAAAACTCCTCACACTTCCATCTGCTTCGCTCCCCTCCAGGGCTTTGTTCTCCATCCCACTGTTTTTTGGATGTGTGGCAACTGGCTGCCTTGAAATATTCAAATGCATCTCCTTCATTTGAGTTCTTCCCATGGTCCAGATTCCTGGGCAGCCGAGCCCCTCTTGCATTCCTCAGCCTACCATCATGGTCAACACTGCCCATGTTCCGTCCATGAATGACCGCACTGACAGCACTGGGGAGACTTAATGGGTCACCGATCGAGGCAGTGAAGGCACTCATGGCACTCAGAGCTGGAATGGGGCTTATCTGAGTTGTACTGTTGACGGCGGTGGTGATGACAACCTGCATTCCTTTGCTGGCTGCATCAACAACTGCTTTGTAAATGGCATCCACGGAAGCATCACCTTGGCCACCCACAACGAGGCCATCCTTCACTTGCTGACCAAGAGTTGGGTCAATCCTTGGTTGCAACTCACAGGATGCATCTTGGAAAGGGGGCAGTGCTGTGTTCAGATTCTCAGGAAGTGCTGTGAGCCCCTGCTGAGTGCTTATTCTTTTGTTCAGGAGAGCTGCATCTTCCTGCATTCTCACCTTAAAGAAATAGACAGGAAAGCAGTGAGAGAGAGAAAAATGTTTTTAAAGAGCTCAGAGATGAAGACGAGAATTTTAAGATTAACCAGAAGACAAATATGACAAGGAAGGAAATATAAGGAAAGAACAAATTTCTGAATGAAATAAATACACTCTGTATAGAAAACTTACATCTTGATTATATTGGGCTACCATTTCTTTGGTTGAAATCATTCAACAAATTAAAAAAAAATCATTGCTAAACATTCTCTAGGAAACTTAAAATTGAAGTGGTTGGACACAAAATGTTTTCAGGTGATGACTCCATCCGTGCATTTAGTGTCATTACAAATTTTGCAGCTTGGGAATCAAAGAGAATCGAGTCAGTCACCAGTACTGCTCAAATTACAGAGGGAACCAGATTTTGAAAATGGTTTCTAACTCAGTAATATTTCTGCTGAACTAAGTGAAACACAATATAAGATAAAACAAAATGCATATACTCCTTTCTTAACAATAAAATATTTCTGATATGACATTATATTTTTGAAGCCTTTAGATAGGGTGGTAACACCTACTCTGACCTTACCAGGCCACCGGCTGAGGGATCTCCCCAGGGTGACTATAGCTCTCTGTAGAAGTGATTCTCAACTGGGAAGAGAGGAAGGGAGGGAATGCCCACCAGGGAGGAGTATCAATGCTCAGGACAGAAAGGATGAGTGCAGTCTGAAAAAGCCCCCGAGGTTATTTCACCAACCCCATTTAAGAACTGATGCTGCAGACCCTCGATACTTTGGATTTTCCCCCAGTGATAATGCCCCTCGTTGTCAGATCCTTCCCTACCTACCCTAAACCTGCGATCCTTCAGCACATCAGCCACTCCTGCCATTCTCTCCTAGTTCACACCTACCAGATAAAATTCCAGTGTTGGATCAATTTAACTGCCTGCCTTCTCTATATCTGATTATTCCCATCAATCCTATGACACTCTAGTTAGGTATCATTCTCTTCACAACTATTTAAATCTTCATCCATTTCTTTAAGTTGGCTGCTGTAGCATCTCCGGCACTATTCATGACCTTAGTGAACAGAGAAAATGGAAGTCATGGCTTAAGAATTCTCATAATTGTTTTACTCTGCTCCTCCCTGCCCCTGGCAGCAGTCACTTCTCTGCGACTATATGCATCCCAAATTCTTTCTTCCCAGTGTAAGAAGGACTATTTCCGTTTTCTGAGAGTACGTTCTCCAGTTATGCTCTGGATCCCAAGCCATTCCTCAAGGATCTTGCCTCATCTGTTATCCATTTTCTTCTTTATGTTCAATCTCTTTGCACTCTTTTTTTAAAGCATACAACTATGTACATAGCTTTCATATTTTGAAAGTTTGCATTAAACCTATGTCTGCCTCAGGGCACCACCCTGTTTCTCTTATTTCTTCATAGTTAAGCTTTTGAAAGTTTTTGAAAGAGTAACCCACATTCTTCAATTCCAAAACATTTTCTTCCTTCCATTCACTGCAATCTGGCTTGTGCTCCCACCACTCCACAAAAACTGTATTCCACCAAATCAGTGGTGATGCCCTAATTGCTAATCTAATGGATTCTCTTTAGGCTTTATCTACTTGTTTTCTCAGGGACATGGTTGAGCACTTCCTCTTCCCTTCTAAATTATTTTATTACATAGATGTGTATGCATATCTTCTCACTGTCAAAAAAGATGAAAATTTTCATTACTACTCTACCAGTACTTTCCTATTCCACTCCAATCCCATTTCCATTCTCAGAAGTCATTAGTGCTGGAGTGCATCCTTGCAGACACTTATTTTTAATACATTAAAGTGTGTACGTATGTATCTAGTTTCCCTTCTTTCCTTCCTTTTTTTCTCCTTCCTTCTTTCTTTAGGTACTATATTTTGGTATTGTTCTAAAATACTGTAATACTGGAGTCTTGCAATCTTGTGGATTTCCATATCAGATTATATAAATTTACCTAATCAACTAGGTAGATTTTAAACTACTCGATGATGGATATACCAGAACATATTTAATTATTTCCCTAGTGATGGATCCATCACTAGGGATCACTAGGGAAATAGTTATGGATGCCTGAGTGGTGTCTAAACTCTGCCACCATAAATCATACTGTAATGAACACTCTGGTATGTGCTTTTTGTTCACAGTTTAAGATTTCTCTAAGGTAGATACGAAGAAGTTGAACTTCTAGGTCAAAGGATATGTATATTTAAAAACCTGTTAAACTATCAAATTACCCTCTGAAAGGACTATATAGCGTACAATTAGACCAACAATATATCTGAAAGAATCCATTTCCCCCACATTGCTGTCTGCAGGAGATAATCTCAATCTGACAGTCATATGAGAAACTAGATATATACCTACACACTTTGTATAACTCTGATTATTCCTTTCATATGTTCATTCATAATTTATCTTTCATTTTCTATTCATATTTATTACTGAATTGTCTATTCAGTATATTTGAATATATATGAATTGTCTATTCATATTTATTACTCATTTTCCTAGACAATTAGCTTTCTCTGCCTGATTTGTAGGAGTACTTCTGATATTGTGGATTTTAATTATTTGCTATTATAAGGCAATTATTTTCTTCCAGTTTGATACTTGTCTTTAACTTTGTTTAGAATACCTCTGATTGTGGAGGCTTTACTTTTATGAATTTAACTCTGTTACTAGTTTTCTTTTTGACTTCTTGGTTTAGGCTCTTACGGAGAAAGCCTTCTCTAAGCATATTAAAAAAAAAACTTCTATACATTCTCCTTAAGTTTATTAATCATTACTCTTTCCCTCTAGCTCCTTCACATGTTGGGAAATGATTCAGCTTATAGAACTAAAGGAAAACCATGTGGTTGAAACCAGGGAGACAGAGGTTAGGGCCAGGGCTGAGAGGGAGGCCAAGGAGGCCAAGGAGGCATGTCGTGGACGTGGGTTTAACCCTGAGTGCTGCCGGAAACCGCAAAAGGGCTTCAGAGGGTAACATGATCAGTTTTTTCTATAAGCCCCAAAAAGGACTACTGAGATGCTTCAGACAAAATGAAATAACCTACACACAAAAAGACTGCAATGTTTAACAATTTTATGATTGAAAAGTAATAGTAAGTGGAGGTGAAAGGACATACAACCTCTTTCTTTTGTCTCTTTCCCCAAACTAAGTGTTTTAACACACCTAGACACTGTTTCTATTCAAGCAACCCAGGGAGGGAGAGTACCTGAAAGTTCTGAAACAGACAAGCCATGGGGTTATTGTTAGCTGGGCAAGGGACTGTGGACTGTCCCGGGTAGGCCTGCAGATTCTGGTGCCCCTGCAGAAGCTGCTGTTGCTGATTTGGAGGAAACATCTGATTGTTGTTTAACAGCGACTGTAGATGAGTCAGTTGATGGTTATTCAAAGTATTGTTTATTGAGGACATGTCACCTATAGTTTGAAAAATATAAAATGTAAGTCAGTGTGATTCTTTGGAGATCCTATGCCTATCTTCGTATCTGAGGATTCCTGAAACAAAAACTGAAAACTAGATTTACATGGAATCTTTTTCTCTTTTTCTTCTCAGTCTTACTTAGTAGTAAGGAAATCATATTTTTATTCTTTAATTTCTTTCATAATTGGTTTTTTTATTTTATATCATGCAGAAACTACTTAGTCTTTGGTCTATCCATTAGCCAATATTTACATATTAAGTTTCAGTGTTATATAATTCTTTGAAATGATTTTTATTAGAGTACCTACAATTAAAGGTTGAAATCAGTTGTAAAATGTTTTAGCAATAATAAGTATTTGACCAGATGATTAAAATGAGTGGGTCTGATTAGGTCTTGTTTACAAAATTTAGTTCAAGCCACAGTCATCAAGAAATATCACCAAAGAAAATTGGATTTGGCATAGAAATATGTATTTTGTTTTTAAATAAAATGTTGGCCACCTAAAATTAAAATCATAAAGAAGGCTAACAATTCAAAAGAATTCCTTGTTATTATAATGAAATAAAAGTATTACATAATGAGATAGCATTAGTTAATAACTAAATTTATATTCAAAATTAAAAACTAACTTGTTTTGAAATTACATTGAAGCTATCTTGAGGAAAATGTCTTAGAAAGTATCTTGTAACTTGAAATATGTAAATCTGTAATGCTTTTCAGATTACTTAACACTGATTTCAATGCCAAATAGAACTAATTAAACCATATTATACTGGTGCCCATAAGATGTGGAAACATATATATGTATTTATTTTTACATACTGAAGAGGCCCTTGACAATACCTTGTATATTTGCCTATGTTTCCAGATTTAATGGACACCAACTCTGTATTAGTTACCTGCATCAGTCAGTTGGACGTAATTGATGTGTGTTTTCTAATGCTTTTGTGATAGGTTAATCTACATGAAGAAATCCTTTGTTTTTAATCCACAAAGTTCTAAAGAAGAATACTGTCTGAGGATATGGTAGCAGCTGTGGGGCTGTCTGTTTCCTTGAACTTGGGCAAACTTTACTTCTGAGTGTGTTTACACCTTCTTTCTGATTTTGCTGGATAAGCATTTAGTTTGGGTTATTGAGGGATCACCTGGAAAACGCCTCCACGAACTGTTTCCATCGCAGTGCAGCTGCTCATACTAACCCTGTGATGCCACACCAACTAAAGTCAAATCAGAATTATTTTTAGGAGGTACCTGAGCTTTATTATTTGAAGAAATAACACTCTATTTGGCTTAAGAGAATGAGGGTAGGTTAGGTTTAGGTGGCATCAGAATTAGAAGATAAGAGAGAGCAGATTAAAATGATATTTAGCATTGCTAGAATAGGGGAAAAGGAAAAGGCCATTTTCATGTTTGTATAACTATGGATGTGTGTAGGTGTTATTATATTTAGTTTCTTAAGCTAGCTGTGACATAACAAAAGCATTTTTAAAAAGTGTGACAAAATGGAGTTTTTAAAAAGGAGAAAATAGAATTAGAAAAACGTTTCTTTTGTAAAAATTTGTGAGAAAATGTAACTTACCAAGCAGACCTGTCCCCAGTAGAGGGTTAAGTAGCTGTGGCACCACAGAGTTACTGTTGAGTTTAGCTGGACCAGGTGTGTTCCCAGCATTATTAGATACATTCAGCAATGTTTCTGCCATTGACACCACTGCTGTCCCACCAAGTGTTGAGACAGTCAGTGCTGCCACTGCTGATGATGTAGTGGTTGTGGTAGTGGTTGCCTGGGAGGAGGTTGCTATGGAAACCTCTGGATGATTAGCTGCGTTGGCCGATGCCGAGTTCAGGACACCTCCCAACAGCTGGGGATTCAAGGCCATTAATCCTGAGGCCCCAGTGACAGCTGGGAGGAACAGGGGGCTAAAAGCGTCACTGCCTGCAAAGCCTGGTAAAGGGTTCCCCAGGGGGCTGGTTAAAAGGGTCTCAGCTCGGCTGTTCTCTGACTGATTGCTTGGCAAGTGGTCGGGTGGGGCTGTCATCTGTGTTAAGGAGGGTAAAGGGGCATTTTGCTGTTGCAAAAGATCTGAGATGGTCAGACTGAAAGATGGCGGGGGAAGCATGGCAGCTGCTTGGGCGCGGTTCTGAAGCAGGGCTGCCAAGAGCTGGACGTGAACAGGCTGCAATGCCTGCCCATCCAGGTCACCGGAGAGGAAAGCTAAAGCAGCGTTTACATTCGGGTTGAGAAAACCTAAAGAGTGGAGGTTGATCTCAGACTTGCCTTCTCCTGCTGAAGGCTGGAGGATATTTAATAGATTCTGGTTTAGGAGATGCTGTTGATTCACTGGCAAAGAGATAGGTAGAGAACTGAGGAGGCTGGGGTTCAAGGGGTGTGGAAGATGGTTGTTTGAAGTGCTGTTGGATGGAAAATGAAGTGCGTGCTCCTGGCCAACAAAAGGAAAATCACTCCCAAAGGGCAGCTGACTCTGCAATGGGTTTCCAGCTGCGGTGGTGACGATGACGCCGTCCTGAAGAACAGAGGTTGTCTTTGTGATGGCAGGGTGGGTGGTGCCAGCTATGGCTATGGAAGATGATGGTCCTGAGCCGCCTGAAATGAAGGAACAAAACCCCCGATTAGTTACAGACGTTAAGGAAGACGACGCCATAAAAACACTTAGATTTCAATTAACTCACTCATGTTACCTTTGCCAATTTTAATCAGATTGGCATCAGAGATGATTTGACATCTCTTAATGAAACCTAAGTAGAATCTTATACTTCCTCACCTACTTTGAACATAAATACCTTGAAGAAGTTTGGTATATTAAGAAGTAGCTATTTCTAATTACCAAATTGCTTGTTTGTCACAGCCAGACAAGGTGAAGCTGCGGGAAATTTGTGTTTGTAGTTGATTCAGTGGGGTACAGAAAAGTAACAAGTCTTCATTTTTCAAAATATATTTCTTTTTCAAAAAAGTTTTTGCTATTTATTTATAATACTAGTACTTGCTTTTAGTGAAAAAAAACAACTAGAATATGCATGAGAGTATAAAATGGAAAATAAAAAGTACCTATGGAGATAACTACTAATATTTTAGTATATAGTTTCCTGGGCTTTTCCCATTTGTATGTACATAGATATGCAGACATACATATGTATATGTATACACATACACATTACATATTTTAACAAAAATGGAATTATGATGTTTGTAACTTTTTTCATTTACTGATATATTGTGCATATCTTTCCATTCACTCGTATTAACTGCAGGGCCATTTTAGTAGTATCATGCATAGATATGCCATAATTTAATCAATCCATAGTTGTTAATATTTTGATAATTTACAGTCTTTTACTACTGTAAGCAACACTATGATAAACATTCTTATTAACTCATTTTTGTCAATATGTTCAATTATTTTCTAAGGATAAATTCTTAAAAGTGAAATTCCAGGGAGAAAAGGTTTACATATTTTAAAATCTTTGCATCATTGTCAAACTGCTCTCCAGTGAAGCTGATCAATATACATTCACTTTACATTTCTATAAACAGTATATGGCAGTGCTCATTTCTCATGAACACTCTATTTTATCATTACTATTTAATTTTGTTTATTTAATCACTCTGAGAGCATAAAGATACTTTGTCTTCATGATTCCTGAAAACAGACCAGTCTTCACCCAAACAGCATTCTTAATCCTGAAAGTCTTATGAAAGAGTGAAAATTCAAGGAATTTAATACTTAAAAATATAACATTCCAGTTTTTGTTATAATTTATTTTAGTTGTACTCAATCCAAAGCTGCACAGAATTACCTAGAGAATTTGAAATACACACAAAAAACAAAAGACAATGCATGAGCCCTATCCCAGGCCAATTTGAAAACTCATCTCTTAGGGTTGAGCCTGGGCAGAGTACCGCTGGTGATCCAAATGCACAAGAGGTGGGGTGAGAATCATATTTTGCTGAAAATGAACCTACAATAATTTTTCATAAAAAAATTCTCTTCTCCTAAAGAGATGCACTATCATGTGATACATGCATTTAGCAAATATTACACACATATGCATTTAATTTTATATTAAACATGTATATAGTATAATGAACAATGCCAATGTTACTGAGAATCTAAAATAACTCAAACACTTTAGTGCTATGCTATGCGCATCATTATGAACCTCTACATTTGACCGTGGTTGCCATTGAGGACGTGTCCAAATTTATAGAAATATTTCTATGGTTGTAATAGTAGTACATATATAACTTTACATTTTTCTTGTTTTCTCTTAACAGAATGACAAAGAAATTTTTCTTTGTGATATATAGACTTTGTATTAATATTTTTAACCGTGTAGCATATGGATTGACTATATTTATCAAATCATTCTGATAAAGGCTGGCATTTATATTTTGATTTTTTCATCATTATATATGATGAACAGGGATGAGAATCTTTCTGCATATGATACTTTCATTTATATATTACATCATTATATATATTAAACAGGATGAACATCTTTCTGCATATGATAGTTTCCTGCATTTGAATTTTTCCTAAGGAACATCATTGGCATGATTGTTGTGAGAATCAAAAATAGGTAAGTGAAAGGCTTATATATAATGTGTAAGTGTCTATACAAATAAAAGGAGTTATCATTGTTTTCCTTATTATTGACATTAGTAGTTAGTAATGGTGATGCGGTAATACTAGTAAGTATAAATCACCCTATCCAACACACTTTACAAAATATCTCTCTAGCACACCTTTGCAATTTTTATGAGCTCTCAGGTCTGTTTTTATTTATTTTTAAAGCTCTTGGTGTTTCATTTAAAGAATGAGATTAAAAAAACCTGAGAAGTATAAACATTTATAAAAGATTATCATGAAGTAATTACTATGTTCACAAAGAGCAAGGTAAGAACACATCAATGCTGAAGTAGATATATGGTACACAATTCTTTAAATACTAATTCAGATTTGTAATAAAATCATCCTTATCATAAACATTTCATTGTTTCTTAAGTCTTGCTGCTAGTTCTGTAAATATATGCTGTGCTTTATTTGTATTTAGAAACCATCTTTTTAAACAAGCTAATAAAAACTCTTATTCCCTGGCAGTCTCTATCTGCAGTCTTTTTTCCTATCTTCTAAATAATAATGACATATTTAAATGTCCAGATTACTATTCCTCTAACAACCATCAGAACACATTTTCAAAATACTCTAGCATGTATATATGGCAAGGCTTTGTAGATGAAGGATTTCCTTAAAGGTTATTATTTCCTATCTTTATTTATAAGAGAGGGTAATCTATATTTAGGATTCCTGAAGTAGGATTCAAAAGTTCTCCATCTAAATATTCTTCAGTAATGACAATAAAGAAACCATAGTTACTCCAGGTGTATTTTTGCATTACAAACAAGAAGGTGGTGAATAGCACAAGCCTCTTAAGGGTAATAGGTAGATGATGGCCTAATTTATCTTCTCTAATTTTCAACAACAAATAGGTGTATTCTGCTGAACACAAGGATAGAAACAGTGATACAAAACAACAAACACAATTATCCTTACCTGCAGGACCTGAGTTTAGGCAAAATGATTAACTCACAAATTTCCCTGTCTCTCCTATTTCTCTCTCAAATGTCCATTTATTGAGAGTTTATTATGAATCAGGAAGTTTAATAGCTCTTTTCATATAGCTAGTATAGCTCTAATGCAATATGCTAAGAGCTATAAGGTATACAGCAAAGAGACAATTGTAAAACTGAAGGTGTCAGGGAAAACTATGCAAAGTATTAACATTTGGCCTAGGATTTGAGAGTGTAAAAGGAGACAGAAGTATTAGCAGAGTAATTAAAAATAAAAAAGACAAGGAGATAATAAAATGCATGGAGGGTAATAGAGTCCTGTGTATACTCAAAACAAAGAAATATGACTGAAAATATTGTATGTTGCTTTCCACACACTCCAGCTCTCCCACCCATGGTTAACCTGTTGCCTTAGACAAGCAGGGAAGAAATTTGAAATCATCTTTCTAAACTATTAAAGGCAAAGATCACTTCTTATTTCCAAGACCTAACACAGTCTTTAAACATGGTTGGCAGTCAAAAAATGTTAGTTGAATGAATCTATTAAGATCATAAAACTTGCACTCAACTTCTAGAAATGAGATCATTTGATGGTGTGTGTATAAAGGACATGGATGGAAGAGGCCATTATTTTAGAAGGCTCCCAGGTGTTTCAGGAAGTTAAAATCATCTTACCAAGGAAGAGATCTATTCCAAAGTACTCTTGAGTTCTTAAAATCACTCATTAATGTTTGAGGGAATTCTAAGTGGACCCTGAATTTTGTAGCTAGAGGGAAATTAGAGATTGCTTATTTCTGAACCACTTAATCTTGAATAGGCACTCCGTTAAACCTACTTCATAGTACTGCATAAAAACCTTATGGTCTGTTGAAGCATGTGGGGAATTATGTTTTCTTAAAGCTGAATTTTTAAAAAGCTAAGGTGTTTTGTGCTTAATCTAATTAAAGGGACAGTTGATAAGTTTTTTTAAAAAAAGCAAACTATTCACTAAACATTAAGCAGTTAAATAGCCAAAAGGCAACTGGGAGCCTGGAACAAGTTAGTTAAGTTGGAGAAGTCATTTAATTGAAAAAATGATTATTTCACACTGGCCAGCAGCACCATGAACTGGCATTTCTTTGTCTCATGGTTTCTGTTGCCTTTGAAGAAGTAGGAGAGAAGAGTGGAAAGCCACCCAAATAAACTTTCCTTGCATACAATCACATGTCTAGATACCCAGAGACTGAGATAGTCTAGTATGAGCAAAGGACTGTGGTAGCTTGTCCAGTGGGGAAGAATTTCCAGATATAAACAGTATTCCTCATACAAACAAGTGATTTATGATGTGTGTGTGTATGTGTATGTATACAGAAATAGCATCAGTAAATTTTGTAAAGGATTTTTCCTATTACTAATTTCATTCTTCAGATATTTTAACTGCCTTAAAAAAAACTGCTTTCAAAACAAATCTATCTCTTTAGATTTATTTATCTTCTTTGTCACCAATATTCTTTGAGAAAAATCATTGTTCATATTATGCTTAACTCTTCTATGATGGGCTCTTAGGTATTAATAATATTGTGTACATGCCTTTATATGTGTACGAGAGGGCATACAGCTCATACCAAATGGAGCAATACGGTGTTTTTAAAGTGTCATTACACCAGCTTCATCTTTATCTCCAATTCTCAACAAACACTACTTTATGCTAGAGAACTTTTTCTGAATAGATATGCCCAAATACTGATTTTTACCCATAAAATTCAAGAAACTAAGAAGCGAGTCATAGAGAAGGTACTCCTTCATCATTCGATCTTTATGGTCTGCTTTGGCAACTGAACTTTGATTGCAAACAAGGTCAATGGTAACTCTCGATAAAAATTAATGCTTCTAGAGACAAGAGAAAAATGTCATGCCCTAGTGAGTCTAATAAATATAATTCACTTTCAATCCCATGGAAATAGTAAAATTTTTTCTCCTATCTTAAAGAATTGATTAAAAAATAAATTGAAATATAACTTTAATGAGAAGTCTAG